TAAACTATCACATAATTCACAATAAAACATTTAAAAACAAAACCAAAAAAAGTGCTCATTACAGTCAGATGCTCACTGAAGAGCTGAAGCTTGAACTTCAGATTAAATGCAGAGGACTGCTATCCAAGGGCTTTGTGATCTTGCATGACAATGCACATTCATACACCTCTGCCCACACCATTGACACTCTGCATCGTCCTGATCTTGCTCCATCAGACTTTCACTGTTTGGTCCCCTGAAAGTAGCCCTTTTAGAATGAAGATTCACTCTAACGAAGAAGTGAGGACAGTGGTGCATCTGTGGCATGAAGCTCAGCCTAAAACATTTTAAAATAAGGGAATACTGAAAGTTATTGACAGATGGACAAAGTGTATTTAAAAGCCAGCAGGTTATATCGAAAAATGATGTATTTGTCTTTTCTAAAAGCTGATTAAATTCTATAGCCAGAGTGCAGATAATTTTTGACTCACCCACATATGTGTATGTGCATGTATATACATGTGTTATATATATGTATGTGTATGTATACATATGAGTGTGTATTTATACATATCTATTCACTATGGTCACATCTCTAATGTTAACAATTATTCCTTAATGTATTCAAATTTTTATTATGGATCTTTTCAAACATATATGAAAACAGAGACAATAGTATACTGAGATCACCTATGTTGTTGTATGCCATGGAGTTGGTTCCGACTCATAGCGATCCTGTGTAAAGTTTTCCAGGCTGCAAATCTTTGCAGGAGCAGAAAGCCTCATCTTTCTCCTGCCGACTAACTTGTAATTTTGAGATGCTGACCTTGAGGTTAGCAACCCAACTCTGTTCATCACTAAATTAAAAAGATAATCAACCTCTACATAATAAGTTAATGTGCTAAATTGCAAAGTCAGTTTGAACCACAAGGTCAGTGATTGAAGCTCACCAGCTGCTCCTTGGAAACCGTACAGGGTCACTTTGGGTCAGAATCAACTCGACAGCACTTAACAACAACAACAGGAAAATCAGGAAAATTGGAGTCCTGGTGTGGCGCTGGGGGTTAATATGCTGGGCTGCAAAGCTGTTTGAACTGCAGTGTCGGTGGTTCAAGCTCACTAGCTGCTCCTTGGAAACCTTATACAGGATCGCTATTAGTTGGAACTGATTCGATGGCACTTAACAGCCACAAAAAATCAGGAAAAAACATTTACATTGGTTTGCATACATTGGGTTTCATTGCTATATCATCAAGTCTCTTGCATTCCAGAAGCATCCCTGCCCTCGTTTTGGAATGCTATTTGTTTATAGGGAAAAGTCTGCCATGTGTGTTGTATTTAGCTGACTGCTTCTTGTGGTGTGGTTGGGCATGCCCCTCTCTCCCCCCGCTGTACTTCTTGTGCTAGGAGAGTTGCATTGGCCAGTGAGGTGTCCAGCAGCTACAATTCATTTCAAATTAAACGAAATTCAAAATTCAGTCCCCCGTTGCACTGAGTACACTTCAAGCGCTCAATAGGCCTCTGTGATAGTGTAGGTTTGGACCATTGGCTTTGTTTTGGAAAGGTCTATCGAACAACCCTAATCGATGAGCAGCTTCCATTTTGGATTGTTTGCTTTTGCCAGAGAATACTTTGTGTGTTCTTCATCAGTTTGTCCCCACTGTGACTAGTGTTCAACAGTCTCAGCCTGCCCCTCCATCACCCAGTGATGGCTGCTGGCAGCAAAGCGGTGATTTGTTAGCTCTCTCATTCTCTGTGTGAACCTTGGAGTGTAGTGATTAAACCTTTGGCTGTTAGTTGAAAAGTTAGTTGTTCAAATCCAGAAAGGTTGGCAGGTTCAATCTACCTAATGGCTCTGAGGAAGAAAGACCTGGTGACTGCTTTTGTAAAGATTTGTTGTTGTTGTTGTTGTTCGGTGCCTTTGAGTCGGTTCTAACTCATAGTGACCCAACAAAGGGGCTTCAGAAAGTTTGTGGGGAAGTGGAATGAACTGTTCCGAGTCCCCTTGTATGTCCAACATAAAGCATGTTGCTCTTGCTCTGTCCTGTGCCTCCTCACAATCGTTGCTGTATTTGAACCCATTGCTACAGCCACTGTTGTCAACCCATCTTATAGTGATTCTTCCTCAACTTTAAGGATCACAGCATAGAAAACCCTTTTCTATTGTCACGGGAATCGCTGTGAGTTGGAGTCAGCTCCATGACATACACAATATCGTACGGGCTGCACTTATTAACTGAAATTCTCCTATAAAAGGAAATTGTTTTACAATCAGCTATTTGGTTACCCTGACATACAGTTTATACAGGAAGGCAGAATAAGTGCTTGTTTCACCCCCCCTTTTCTATGCCCATTTTCGGAGTCCTGGTGTGGCGCTGTAGGCTAATGCGTCAGACTGCAAAGTTGTTTGAATTGCAAGGTCGGTGGTTAAAGCTCACCAGCTGCTCCTTGGAAACCCTGTCCAGGGTCGTTATGGGTTGGAATTGACTTGACAGCACTTAACAATGACACAAATGCCAATTTTCAGAGTAAGAAGTTGATGTCCTAACACCTTCCAAAGATGACTAATAAATTGTATTTCGGTTAATTTCATTGTGGTGGAGTAGATCTATATATGATAAAGAGCTGGCCTGTTGGACCAGTTTTATAATTTAGTGACGCTCACAGTTCTGTGCTGCTGTCACTTCCCAAACTTCTGCATCACCCCAGAGACTCGGTGCCCCTTCAGCAATAACTCCCCACCCCGCATGGCCCCAGCCCCTGATGATTTCTGAATATCATTATGAGCAAATGAGGTTATATATATGTCTCATTTTTCATTAGTTACATTTTCTAATGCTCGGGTGGTTTTCCGAGGTGTTTTCTTAATGTTGAAAAATAATGTAAGTCACCTTCACATGGAGTCCCTGGGTGCTGCAAACATTTTGTGTGCTCGGCTGCTAACCAAAGGTTAGCGGTTGGAGTCCACCCAGAGGCACCTTGGAAGAAAGTTCTGGAGATCTACTTCAAAAGATCACTGTCATTGAAAACCTTACGGAGCACAGTTTTACTTTGACACCCGCGGGGTCACCATGAGTCAGGGTCAGTGCAATGACAACTGGCTTTTCATACCCTTTGGTGCCAAGTTGAAGTCCTCTGTTCACACAGTGTATGTAGTACATGGCAACAGGACATCATGCCACGGAGTCCCCTGGGTTTCCCGCTTTTGTCCCCTTCATACTAAGGAGCATCAGTTCATGGGATTCTCTTTCTTTTCAGTACTTCAGTTTGTGCCTCAGAGCGTGGACACCGGCTTCTGCAACTTCACCCAGCGCATCGAGAAAGGTCTGATGATCGCACTCTCGGAAGTGAGAAAGCACCATCCGAGCACCTATAACCTCACAGTGCAGGTGAGAACGTCCCTGTGTACAGAGCAAAAGGCTTAGCGTTTTTAACGAGGAAGCCAGCCTGCCTAACCCGACCCAAACTCAACCCAACCTGCTGCCATTTAGTCGGTTCAGACTCAGAGATCCGGTATAAGGGTTTCCCTGGCTGTAAATAGTCGCAGAAGCAAGACAGCCTTGTCTTCTCCTGCTAGTGGGTTCCAACCGATGACCTTTTGGTTAGTGACTTTTAACCACTGTGCCACCAGGGCTCCTTCAGACACATTTGTTGTTGTTAAGTGTCACTGAGTCAGTTCTGACTCACAGCAACCCTGTATAAGGTTTCTGAGGCTGGAAATCTTTGTGGGAGCAGAAAGCCTCATGTTTCTCCTGGAGAGCTCTGGTGGGCTTGAACCATTGACCTTGTGGTTCTCAGTCTAGTGCTTATCATATGGAGCCACCGTGCTCCTTTAAGAGTCACTTAGCTCTTAGTATTCCATCCAGTGAAGGACAATCTGTTTCCCGTATGGTGACCATATGCAGAAAATTCAAGAATGTTCTATAAAACAATGAAATCAACCTATCAGTCTCCAACAGAGAAACGTGTCAGTACATGGAACATGTCATATCACGGAACATCGTGGAATATGGCGCCTCACTCTGAAAATGAGACGCTAGCTACTAATCAGAGATCGGCTTGATATGCATTATGTAGAAATGCTTTTTGATTTTAGTATTTCTTTGATAGTTTTCTCTTTCTTTTCTATATGATCTCTTCTGGAACTCTTGCTAAGTAGATTTTAGCACTCATGGATTCATTCATTTTCCGTATTTCTCTCTCCACCACTCCCTGTCCCATCTGTCCTTTTTAATTTTTTGTTTCCACATATTTTGTAAAGTTGGTCCCCCAGATCATTAATTTAGTCTTTGGCTGTGTCCGTTCTGTTTAATTTTGCTTTAGCAACCATTTTATTTGTTAATTTCTCTGCTCCATTTTTATTGCAGCCTCTCCTTATTTCATGGATGCAATGCCTCGTGAAAAGCTCTGAAGACTCGTTAGAATGTCTTAAAAAGTTGTCTTGTGTTTGCTATATAACCTTGGTTTTCTGTGTAGTCAGTGTTCTGTGTACTGATCTTGGTCCTTCCCTTTGGTGATGTGAGTTTTCCGGCTGTGTCTGGGATGGCGGATCGGCTGATTGCTGTCCTGCTCCAGGCTGTTGTTATGGTAGCTTGTCTGGCATTTCCCTCAGCTCTGGGGTCTATTTCAATACCAGCCCCCTCTCCTGATGGGAGAACAAATTGAAACACTGAGTATATCTGCAGAATACAAGGGTGGCAGGCTCCTCTCTTGGCTTGATGCATGGTCAGAGATAGGCAGACTGGGACCTCCCCTTGACCCATGTCAAGATACGGACATTTTCACTCGGGTTGGAACACATTGGTGTATTTTTATAGACTGAGCAGCTTCTTCTTTTTTTTTTTTCTTTCTTGTCTCTAGTGAATATCAGAGTTACCGTCCTCTGCCCAGCTTCATGCTGAGAGGTCATACATCCACATTCGCTGTCTCCCAGGCAAGGAGCTCATCTTCATCAGGGAGTAGTTTTCTCTTACCCTGACTGAAGTTGTGGGGCCTGCCAGGGCCTCTGTGTTAGCCTCTGTGGGCACCACTGGTCCAATCTTTCTCAGACAGTCCTTTAATTCTGCTGATTATGGGTCTGTAACCCACTTTTGTCTCAGTTCCTACTGTTTCCCACCACAGAGGCTGTTGGTCTTTACCAGCGTATATGTTGGGTCTCAGTTAGGTTTGTTTTAGTATGTTCCCTTCCTCTCTCCATTTCCTGCAAATTTGACAGAATCTCTTATCTTCTTCCAATCTTGTAGCTTTTGTGGATTTGTTTCCTTTTGTTCAACTTATTGTTATTTTAGTGGGAGAGAAATTTGAGGGAAAAATTGATGGTATGATAGAACAATATTAACAACAATACCATGGACTGCCAAAAGAACAAACCAATCTGTATTGGAAGAAGTACAGCCAGAATGTTTCCTGGAAACCAGGTTGGCCAGATTTCAACTCTCATTTATCTGATATATAGTCAGGAGGGACCATCCCTGGAGAAGGATATCACGTTTGGTAAAGTGGAGGTTTGGACCAACAAGATGGATTGTCACAATGGCAGCAGCAATGTGCTCAAGTGTAGCAAAAATTTTAAGATTGGTCACTATGAGTCTGTATCGACTGGATGGCACCTAACAACAATGTGTGTGTGTGTATTTGGAGCTCTGGTAGCATGGTGGTTACAAATTGCACTGCTAACCTCAAGGTCCGTAGTTCGAAACTACCTGCTGTTCTGTGGGAGAAAGATAAGGCTTTTTGCACCTATAAAGATTTACAGCCTTGGAAATCCTATGCAGGATTGCTGTGAGTCAGAACTGACTCCGCGGCCCACCACCATAAATATATGTATGTATACACACACACACACACACACACACACACACACACACTCATTCATTCCTTAATGTGTAAAACATTTTCAATTTAAAATATTGAAAAATGGAACTAAGTTGTAAAGCCAGTTATTCATTCTTTTAAAACTTTGCCTGTCTTTTTAAAAATCAGTGATAGAAACGTGGTAGAGAAATAGCAGTCAAGCTTTTACAGAACAATTTTGTTTCTTTTAGAAGCTAATTCTGGCTTTCCTCTTTCAGATCTTGAATATCACTGTGGGGCCTTCAAGGATGGCTCCCCGGCGGGGCCCAGTGACCATCATTTTTGCTGTTAAGAATGCACAGGGATTTCTGAATGGGTCTGAAGTAAGCGAGCTGCTTCGGAACCTGAGTGTGGTAGAGTTCAGTTTCTACCTGGGGTACCCCACACTGCGGATAGCTGAGCGTGAGTACTATTCTGCTTGGGAGCGTTGGGGAAGAGTGAGCGCAGATGGTTTTCATTGGGGGAAATGATAATTTTTCACAAAAGGAATACTTGGTTCTGAACCCCAGCATGAGAATTAGGTAAAATTGGATCTTTGCAGGTTCAGCCAGGTATGTCTCCTGTCCTCCCTGTATGATTGATTCTCTTTGGTGACTAAAAGAGGACTATTAAAAACTGAGCCAAAACTTGCGCTGGACTGCAAGGTGGATTGGAACCGCAAGGTTGGTGGTTCAACCTTACCAGCTGCTCCTCGGAAACCCTATACAGCATCGCTATGAGTTGGAACTGACTCGACGGCACTTACCAACAATAGCAATTAAAAACTGGTAGTTCTGGTATGATGCTGTTGGATAAGCACTGGATTGCTAATCACAAGGTCAGTGGTTCAAACCCACCAGCTCTCCTCAGAGACCCTATACTGGGTCACTATGAGTCAGAATCGACTTGACAGCACTTAACAACAATAACAATTAAAAACTGAGAATCTTGGTGTGGTGCTATAGGATAAGAACTGAACTGCCAACTACAGGGTTGCCACTTCAGACCCATCAGCTGTTCCTTGAAAACCCTATACCAATTGATGGCCCTTAAGAATGCCAACAATTGAAAATGAGACTTAGTCTCACGTACTTTGGACATGTTATCAGAGGGACCAGTCCCTGGAGAAGGACGTCATGCTAGGTAAAGCAGAGGGTCAGTGATAAAGAGGACGACCCCCAGCAAGATGAGCTGACATAGTGACAGCTCAAACACGACAACAGTCATGAGGAGAACGGGCCGTGTTTTGCTCTGTTGCTCGTGGGGTCGCTGTGAGTTGGAACCAACCCAATGGCACCTAACAACAACAACATTAAAAAGTATGCAAAAAAAAGAGATTGCACAAGTTCTGGAAAAGAGAAAACTCTAGGAATGTGATTCCGCATTCAGGGGTCAAGAATGGGAGGAATGTTTGGCTACAGAAGGGTTGTGAAAAGGAATTTTGGGGTGTGATAGAGCTGTTCTGTCTCATTCTTGTTTAGTGGTTATATGACGGCATTCATCAAAGCTAAAATTGCACACTGCTGTATGGAAATTTGGAAAAACAAACAAAACAAAACCCAAATTAATACAACCAACCAAGTCAGTACTTCTGGTTGAAGCTTGAAGTCCTCTATGCAAATAGCAGAGCAGAGAGGGGTCGGGGTGGGATGGGGTGGTGGTCAGGGTATTAAATAGTCGGTTTTAGGACTGTTTAGGCCTGAAATGTAAAGAGGTTAAGTTAGTAGGTTTTAGGACTATTTCGTCCTAAAAGGTAAAGAAGTTAAGGCAGCATGTGCTACAACATGGATGAACATATAGAGACTAGCCAATCACGAAAGACCATGTAGTTATCCATCCATTTTATGAACTGTCCAGAACAGGCAAACACATTGGGACAGGGAGTAGATTGATTGGGAGTGTGAACTCAAGCTCCTTCTTTAAGGTTTATAGCCTTATCATAGAGCAAGTCGATTTTACAATATGGCCCCATTCTGTCCTTACCTTTGTAAGATGACCACTGAAGATTGGGCGCTATGGTAAAGCGTGGTGACAGAATCAGATGGTGCCTGGCTATCAAGAAGGAGAGCATCTGGAGTCTTCAAGGTCTCTCGTAAAGCAAGCTGCTCTCTGAGGTTGCTGTGGCATTGTAGGATCAGCATTGGACTGCGAACCACAAGGCTGGTGGTTCAGACTCACCAGGTTTTACTTGGAAACCCTACACTGGGTTACTGTGAGTTGGAACCCACTTGATGACAGTTAACAACAAAAGGAGTTAATCTGCCCATGCAGAAGAAAGCACACGAGCTTAAGTGTGATCCAAGGATTTTAAATAGAATTCATGATCAGAGGAAGTGCTGTATCGGAGCTTCAATTCCAAAGCACTTGATCCATGGAGTCGTCAGTGCATTTTGAGTCTTGACATATGCTCAGACGTCATATGATTGCTTTCTGACCATTAACCAGTCAGGTGATTATGACACTTGTTACACGCCCCAAACAGTGCCCTGAGAAGAGCCACATGTGATCTAGCCCCAGTGAAAAGTTGGGGTCACTCAGGGCCACAAGGTAGCCAGGTGATGGAAGGACCCCAAGACCAACCTATCGGCTTTTTCAGTCTTCAGTTGTGGTCCTTTTCCTGCTTCCATAGGCATGCCTCCAACAGTGTTGAATTGACTTGTCACCAACTCTGACTTTGTGATGATTCCCTTTGTTTTCTCTCACAGACAATCGGTCCCTTGGCTGTGAGACAACTGGTGCCCTTTGGCCTCTGTACTGTGTGTGCTGATGGCTTCCCTCATCTGGGATGGCTGCCCTGTTTCAGGCTTTAATATCTATAGACAAAGTAAAGGAAGAAGATACATGGTTGTTAGGGAAGGGCTAGGGGACTAGGAGAGGGACTGCTAATAGGGTGTTCTTTGTTGTGTGTGTGTGTGTATATGAAGAAATGTTGTAAAGTTGATTGGGGTGATGGCTGTGCAACTTTGTGAATTCCCTAAGAACCATGGTGTTGTACTCTTTAAACAGGGGAATGCTGTGGTATATGGATTATAGCTCACGTCCAGATTTTAAGGCTGGCAAAAAGAAAATCAGAAATTCTTTTTCAAAATGGAACAGCCAAGTGTTAATGTGTTAATGGTTGTTAATGTATACATTAATGGTTCATGTTATTAATGTATACATGAATGGTTAATGTATACATTAATTGTTAATATATTAATGAATTCATTAATGGTTGTTAATGTATTTAAGTATGGTGTTAATTAAATGATAGCAGGAGAAAGATGAGGCTTTCTGCTCCTGCAAAGATTTACAGCCTCAGAAACGCTGTTACAGACTTGCTATGAGTTGGAACTGACTCGATGGTGCTTAACAGCAATGAAATGACAAAGAATAACTTGTAACATACAAAAGTAGACAGGAATAAAGTTGTGGTTTACAAATAGGAACTTTGATTTGTGTAGAGTACATGTACAGCTAACATAAGAACAATGACAACATCATAACAACCACACGGTTGCTGGGACAACAGGTGTAGTCTAGACCCATCCCAGGCAAGCAGGACAGATGGCCACTTTGCCCTGAGTCATCACTGGGGACCTGGGACCGTCAGGAACACAGTAAAAATGCTTCTGTCTGAAACAAGGACATTAAAAACCAACCAACCATGCAAACACCTTTAAAGAGAAGTGGGAGTGATCTTAGTGGAAGCAGTAGGTCCGTGTGTCTGTGAGGGAGTGTGAACAGAACCTTATTGCTTTTCCTCCCCCTTTCTCCTCAAGCAACTATTCAGAGGAATGGCTGCTGAGTTTGAACTGCCGATTTTGTGGTTAGCAGTCCACTAAAGAGAAGTTGTTGTTAGGTGCTGTTGAGTCAGGTCCAACTCATAGCAACCCTATGTGAGGTTTCCGAGGAGCGGTTGGTGAGCTTGAACCACTGACCTAGTGGTTCAAACTACTTTGCAGCCCAGCTCATTAACCCACAGTGCCACACTAGGCCTCCTAAATCAGTCTTTGTCCAAGAGTATATCTCCTTGGAGCTAGGCAGGAGGAAATTGCAGTCTAGCTCCCATAGAACTATGAGCAATTGTTCTAAACTCTTTGAAGATTCTGGAAAAAAGAAAGAATGAAAGAAACTGCCTTCTGCCAGCATCCTCATTGCTGCCATTTTGTGCCTCACGTTTCTAGAGACACTGATCCAATATGCCCAGAACTTGCATCTCTTACAGGTTTTCCCTTTCCCTCCTTCTAGCCTTCCAGTACCCACAGCTCAACTTATCACAGCTGTTGAAGGCCTCCTGGGTGAGGACAGGTATGTGGAACTCATGCCGCGTTTTGGGAGCCGTGAGGCTAAGAGATCTCAGCTGTGGAACTGAGAACAGTGCCGGTCCTGCTTCTGACGTTTAAATTCAGGGCAATTTGTACCTGGAGTTCTTGGCAAGGGGGTGCGGTTGGCTGTGGGACTCCGTCCCGCTGAGTTGTGACAAAAAATGGGTTGGCATTCCTTTAAACTGCATGCACCACGTGCTGGGCAAAGTCTGACTGCAACGTTCCATCTTTTGACCCAGAAACAGTGTGACGTACAGATTCCAGAATCTCTTTTTCTCTGAAATGTCTCCTTGTCTGGTTTTAGAAGAGCCAAGGAGGTCACTCCGTGAGCAAATTCATTTTTCTTTTTTGTTCAGGAGGTCTGGGTCAGATGGATATTGAAAGCAATGACACTTCAGACACAGGTTTTCTGGACTGTCCTGGGCCCAACACACAACATCCAGGCCAAGTGCCCACCAAATGGCCTGGCCTTATTTCTAGTTGTTGTTCCTGGCAGATGACCAGCCTGTGACCATCTCTGAAAGGGGAATGGAACCTGCTCTGGGTGAACACCATCTGCCTTATTTCTGTCCGGTAATAGTTTAGAACAGACCTGAACACAAGACTCTCTTACCTTGAGCTAGTGCATTAGTCCACGTCTTTAGTCAGATCAGATGTGAACACAACCTCCTTCCAGAGTTTAGGGAGGAGTACAGATGGAGTGACTGCACTCGGGGAGCACTTTGAGCTCCGGAGTGTCTGGGTCTTCTGAGTCTCTGACCACCAGAACTGGAGCTGCAGACAGGACTCAGGAAAGGAGGCACATCCTGGGCTCTCCCATATTCCATCCCCTCTGCCTGGAATGTCTCCTCCCCAGGGACTGGATTTAATTGTTCTGGGTGAATTTCCCTTCTATACACACATGCATGCATACACACATATTCACATGTGCACACAATTATACTCACATATGTATCTACATCGGAACACATGCTTGCACTCACACAGAGCACACATGGGCATAGTCTCCTCCACATGCACATGTGTGGTGCATACATGCATGTGTGTGTGTGCTCATATGTGCACATAAGGCATTTGTACACATGAGCACATAGATTTGCATACACATACTCATGTACCTGCTCAGGTACATGAACGCACATGTTGGCAAGCATGGACACATTGTCACATGTGCACACACTCACATTGCCCATATACACATGTGTCTGTGCTTCCGTGTGCACACAGTCACACACACATACACATGTGCTTGCATTTGCATGCACATGGCCACATGGCCATGCTGTCATGACATGCATGCACACGTGTGTACACACATGTACACACCACCACACAGTGCACACCCACATGCACTCACACACATGGGCATAGCCACACTGCCATGTGCTTGCATGTATGTATATATACACATTAACACATTCATGTGTACTCACATGTGCATACATGCACACTCACAGTCATACCTGGACACGTACATGGGTACATAGTCACATGCACACAGGCACATAGCCACACTACTGTATATGCCTATGTGTACACACACGAACATAGTCATGTGTACTCACTTGCATACATGCATGTTCACATGGGCACAACTGGACATACACATGGGTACATAGTCACACACAACACCCATGTGCACTCGCACATATACTTCTGCATGTGTGCACCACCACACAAATGGGCACAGTTACAGACACACACATGTGTGCGCATGCAGGTCTGCACATGCAGACTCACATGTGGACACACATGCACACACTCCCACTCATGGACACATAGTGTCACATGCACACACACACATGCACACGCACACACACGGGCACATATTTGCACCCTTGCACATATGGACACATAGCCACACATATGTAGACATGCACATGCACACATGCATATATGTGAGCATGAATGGGCACACACACACACACGCAGATGCACACATATATACACATAGTTGCATGTGTGCCTGCATGGGCACATAGTCTCTCTCACACACACACACACACACACACACACACACACACACACACGCATGTGCATGCATGCACTCCTGTATGTATTTACTTGTGTGTATGCATGCATGCACACACTCACAGGTACTTGCATTCATTCACACACACACATACACTTACATGCACATGGGTATGCCTGGCACACACCTTTTCTCTCCTGCCCCGCCGCTAGCTAACGAATTGTGGTGTCTCTGTGTGCTCTGTCCTAAATGAAGTACTCTTGGGCGTCTTTGAGAAGCAGCTTCAGAATGAAGTCTTCCAAGCCGAGATGGAGCGCAAGCTGGCCCAGCTGCTCAGCGAGGTCCTCTCGAGGAGGCGGATGTGGAGAAGGGCCACCGTGGCCTCGGGGAGCAGTGTGGTGCAGGTGGGTCACCAAGACCCAGGAGTCAGGGAGGGGAGACCCGGCCACATTTCATGCTAATGTGAGATGCTGTGGGAAACCCCAGTTTAGGGGGATTCCTCAATTAGGTAGCAGCTCAGTGTGACCACCTCTCAGTCCCACTGGAGTCCAGACAGATATTTACCAGGCCCTCAGGAAGTGCTGGGCATGCAGTAGCCTGAGTGGGGGCCGAGCTAGGGGATTCCTACTAAGGTGCCATACTATCAGATGACTGGATCTTTTCAAACGAGTTGTTGTTAAGTGCCCTTGAGTTAGTTACTACTCATAGCGATCCTGTATAGGGTTTCCAAGGAGTGGGTGATTTTGACCCACCAGCCTTGCAGTTAGCAGTCAGTCCAGTATGTTATAGCACCATACCAGGCTCCTTAAAAAGATGATGTGCTCTGTTTTATAGAGTGCTAAGTAGTACTGAACTGCAAGATCGGCTGTTCAAGCTCACCAGCTGCTCCTCGAAAACCCTATAAAGGGTTGCTATGGGTTGGAACTGACTCGACAGCACTTCACAACAACAACAAGAAGTAGTATTGATAATATCGTAGAAATAAATCACTGAACCAGAAGAGCCCTGAGGAAAGCAGAGAGGACAGTTTTCTGTCTTCTATCTTATCTTGTAAGGAGCCCTGGTGGTATAGTGGATTACATGTTAGGCTGGTAACTGAAAGGTCAGCAGTTTGAGTCCACCAGCCACTTGTGAGCCAGAACCAACTCAACAACACAACCACCGCCCTCCCAGCTCGTTACCCTCCCTGCAGCCCATCACCCCTGGCCATCTGCTCTTGACCCGGATCGTTTCTTTGCGCCACTGGCAGGAAGGTCACAAAATTGAGATGCCTGTGAATGAAGTTACGTAGTTTTGAGATGCCGATACTCAGGGAGGGTTGGAGCTGTATTTCCTTTTCGGTGTGCCTGATATTATTTTGGATTTTCCTTTTCTTTAAGCAACTGCTGATTTGTAGAGTTTGAGATAAGGAATCTCTTTAAAAAACAAAGACAAGCCACAGCCATTGAATTGACTCCAAGTTACAGTGACTCTATAGGACAGAGTGAGTTAATCCTGAGGGTGTCCGGGACCGTCCATCCATTTGGGAGCAGACAGCCTCCTCTGTCTGCCCTGCAGCGTCTAGGGAGGTTAGACCTTTTGATGAGCAGTCCAACACGCTGCCCACTGTGACACCAGGACTCCTGGGAGGTCCCCAAAGCGGTGACATTTCAGAGATGCAAGCGAGGGTTACTATTCTCTGGTGCCTCTGAGATGCTGCTGGTCTGTGGTCTTCAGGTGGTGAACGTGTCCAGACTGGAGGGGGATGATCACCCGGTGCAACTCATCTACTTCGTGGAGGATCGAGACGGCGAGAGGCTCAGCGCCATCAGGACCTCAGACCTCATCAACAAGATGGACATCCAGAGGGCTGCCATTATCCTGGGCTATCGGGTCCAAGGCATCATCGCCCAACGTAAGTCCATGGTGCCTGAGATCTTCTATGTTGTGGCAGGGTGGACGGCCAGGTGTGTCTGGTTGCAAGCTGTGAACCGAGAGCATTTTCATGTGTCCAATGGGTGAGATGTCTCCAACCTATAGCAGTCAATGCCAAGACCTTCTTCATGGTGGTTTCATTGCTCTGTGTACTCTTTCCACCTAACAGTCTGTATTCAGGCACCAGCAGTGTGGACTGACTTACGGTCGTCTGTCCTGGCTGGAGCTGTAAAAGCAGACTCTTTGTTTCCCGGTGCTGCTCTAACAGAAATAACATAAGCGGGTGCCTTTAACTAACAGGAATCTCATCTCTCACAGTTTGGGAGGCTACAAGTCCAAATGTAGATTACTGGCACTAGGGGAGAGAGCCCTGGTGTGGCGCTATGAGATCAGCACTGCATTGCTAACTGCAAAGTCAGCAGTTCAAATCCACCAGCCACTCCTCAGAAAACCCCTTACAGGCTCACTATGACACTATGAGTCGGAACTTACTTGACGGCACTTAACAACAACAACAACAGCATTGTACCACATGAGTGCTATCCCCATCTCCTTTCATCAGCTCTTCCCATACAGATTGGATACTACTCAGTGGAGATTCTACCTTCCTCCACGCC